TGCATTGAGCATCTGGCCCCTGGTGGTCAGTGTGCATCATAGCGACTGGTCCTTCTGCTGTTCAGTCAATTTTCATATTAGGGTTTTATTTTATAGGATGTTCACTAGTCTTCAAAAAATATAAGCACCATCAAGGAATAACTATGGAAAAATGACATGTAGAGACACAGTTGTCATTTCTTTACTGGCCAAACTCCTTTACTGCCCAGTAACACCATAGAGGCTTACACCAACTGCTACTACTACTATTACTACTACTGCTGCTGCTACTACTACTGCTACCCTAATACTGTGACCACTGTGTTAGACTAAAGAGGAAACTAATACTATACTTGATAAATTGGCTCTTATTCTGCACCCATAACTGATAAAAATTATTTTTTAAACAATGCTATGAAAATAAAGAGCACAATAATTCAAAAATAACAACTAGAAATTATTCACTCATTCATTTGTTCATTCATCCAGTCAAGCCAAAATTCCCAAATGAGAATGGTATTCTGAGTAATAAACTTAATTTTGTCATAAATAATGAATGGGTCCTTTCCAGGACATTCTTTCTCTGTTTATGTTTTCTGATCCTTACATGATATCTTACATAGAGTGGACATTTCAGTAAATTCTTGAGGCAAGAAAGAAGGAAAGAAGGAAGGAAAGGACAAAAAAAAGAATAGTAGGAAAGAAGAAAACTTACATTTTTTATGTAATTGAGGTAACTAGATATGTGACATTTTAATGAAGGAAAACAAGATGTAAAATGGTAAATAAAATACTATGATAAGAGGCCCCATGAATGTGAAATAAGGACTGGGGATTTGAATTCTAAGAAATGTTTTACTGCCCAAGCTGGTTTGGCTCAGTGGATAGAGCATTGGCCTCCGGACTGAAGGGTCCTGGGTTTGATTCTGGTCAGGGGCACATGCTGGGGTCGCGGGCTCAGTCCGTGCAGGAGGCAGCTGATCAATGATTCTCTCTCATCATTGATGTTTCTATCTCTCTCTCCCTCTCCCTTCCTCTGTGAAATCAATAAAAAGTAAAAAAAAAAAAAAGAAAGAAAAGAAATGTTTTACTATTTTTGGTTCTTAACCCGTGTTCTCTCCTATTCCTTGTTCCTTATCCAGTAATCATAAATGTGCATATTTCACTTGGTGATATTCACATTTGAAATCTGATCATGTATCATCTAAATTCAAGAACTCGCTGCATTATTTTATATAGTGATATTTTGTATTGGTAAGTCCTGATGAAAAACGTGAAAGAGAAAACTACACCCCCCAAAAAAAGTTTTGTATCTACAGTGCTTCTGTGAAACAAGTCCAGATATCACCATACCAGCTAATTTTTTCTGTAGTGACTTGGTTTTCACACACTTCTATCTTTCCAGTTTCATTGTAGTTTTTGTTAAGGACTTGGGGACTTGAATGACAGTGATATTTCCAATCGCTTTACAACATTTTATTTCCAGTACATATCACCTCGAAATGTGTTCCCTTGTGGCACATAACAGGATCATTACATTAAAAATGGAAGGTGTAGTTGATGATTGCTACTCTCTAATTACCCAGAGTGTTTGTCAAAGGCATTAGGCAGGACACATAAGCTCCATTTTGCTGTTATATTGACTGTCAGGTTTACAGCACATCTCTGCTAGCATAGAAGACTTACCCAACAAGTATATTTAGTGGAACAGACCTTTGCAACTGGAATAAATCCCCCTTAGCATAAGAATAAATAGACAGTGAAGAAAATGATTTAGTGATCAAATTGGTTTATCTAGACCTTAAAAATAAGAAGCCTATCTAGAATCAGTGTTTCTCAACCATTTTTCCAATTATTGAGACATTTTAGACATATTTTCCTGATAGCTTACCCATGAAATTTTAATGCCATAGATATACTTTGTATCTGTTTATGTACTATTGCCCTTTGGAGGAATATAAACCATTGTAATATCTAAACTTTTTTCTCCCTACCAAGAACAATTTCCATCCTCATGACAATACATGTCTTGGATTATGCTTGCTAGTACACACTGTTTAATTCAGAAGATGTTTCATCAGTTCTATATGCAAAGATACCCTATTCTGGTGTATACAACTCAAGAGGATGTAAGATAGAAAATGGTTCTTTAGTAAATCATATGTTGCCAACTAAGAGATCAAAACTCATTCCTCTCCTAAAAGTAAGGATCCTCTAATAATATTAAAGAGCATATGGTTCCCAAGTAAAATGGTGTCCAAGTCAAAAACCTTGCACCCACAAATTCTGCCTTTGCTCTCAGAAGAGATAATATGAGCTTGCAACAGCTACAATTTCATGCTCTTGTCTATAAGCACACATTTATTGAGCTCTGACTATGCAGACTTTTAGCTCTATGAGGGCAGGAACTGTGTTCAGTTTTGCTCACCATTGCAGAATAAATGAAAGAAAAAAGGGAGAAAGGAAGGGAAGGAAAGAGGAAGACAAGGCAGTATGCTAACTGATTTGAAAACTGCCTCTAAGAATATTATATTTAGGGTGAAGATAGATATGTAAACAAATAAAATGAAATATTATAATCATTTCAATTGAAAATTTATATCAACATGGTGAGGTTACAACCCAGTAATTAATTCTATCAAATTAGAGGTGGGAGCAAACTAAAGTGGGTTATGAAAATGTTTAGAGAGACAGGCTATATTAGGGTTTTGGGGGGCCCTAGGTCACTCTTGGTTTGTGGTCTCCTTCTTCCATAAAATACACTTAAATATAAAGTACAAGATGAGCATAAACTATCTGAGCATTCTAACAGCACAAAGCCAGGAGGTCCAGCAAAGACCTCCAGGAAGGCAAGATGTTTAAGTGAGATAGACCCTAAGGATAAGCTGGAAGAGTAGCTGAGAGAAACAGAAGAGTGTTCTAGGTAGAGGGAACACCTTGTTCAAAGACCTAGACGTGAGGGAACTATTATGATTGATGAAAGAAAGGCAAAGCGATAGAAAAAGAAGGGGTGAGAGATTAAGTTAGAGAGGAAAGTGAAGGTAAAACTACAGTTGGCCCAGTGTTAAGAAGTCTGGCTTTATCCTAAAAAAAAATAAGATGCCATTTAGTGAGCATACAATAGAGCAGGGGTCCTCAAACTTTTTAAACAAGGGGCCAGTTCACTGTCCCTCAGAACGTAGGAGGGCCGGACTATAGTTTAAAAAAAACAACTATGAACAAATTCCTATGCACACAGCGGCGGCAAAGACACCCGGCGGGCCGGATAAATGTTTTCGGCGGGCCGCATGTGACCCGCGGGCCGTAGTTTGAGGACCCCTGCAATAGAGTATACAGATGTTAAATTATAAGATATACAACTGTAAATTACATGGTATCATTATCAACCAATGTCACCTCCAATAAATATATTTTTAAAAATAAATAAAAATAAAAGCTTCTGTTAGGAACCAACAGGATTAGATTTGCATGTTGGATATTCATTCAAGCTATACTGTAGCCAATGGACTGGAAAGGGTGTGGTGGACATTCTGGGGGTCCATAAGGCCTTCTCTTCAGGGCCCATGTACATATATCCTCAGCTTCTGAAAATATTGGCTTTTAAAAGTCTCACAACTGAGTCCTTCGATGGGAATTGTTCCCAGCCACAGGGAGCTATCTTTCCCAAGGGCAGACCCTCTTCGACAGCATCCATGGCCATAACTGGCTAATGTGATACAAAGGCCCATCCATCTTATCTCACTCAATCAGGGACAATCTCAGCTCCTAACCTCCCTGAAGGATCGACTGAGGCCTCTGCTGTAACCATGTTGCTGGTCACTTCTTGCTCTACCTAATCCTACTTTATTAGTTTCCTATTGCTGCATAACACATTACCTCAAACTTGGTACCTTTAAAAACACACACTTATCATCTCACAATGCCCATGGGTCAGGAGTCTGGGCACAGCATAACTGGATCCTCTGCTCAGGCTGCCAAGTGTTGGCCAGACTGTATTCTTATCTAGAGACTTGAGTCTAGTTGTTGACAGAATCAATTTCCTTGTGTTTGTAGGACTGAGGACCCCAGCTTCTTGCTAGGGCTGTTGATTGATTGGAGGCTGCCTTCAGTGCCAGCAGGCCACCAGCAATTCCTAGAGGCTGCTTAGTTTCTTTCATGTGGGCTTCCCAACGGCCACTTACTTAAGCCATCAAGGAGAGTCTCTAGAACAGTGGTTCTCAACCTGTGGGTCGCAACCCCTTTGGGTGTCGAACGACCCTTTCACAGGGGTCACCTAAGACCATTGGAAAACACATATATAATTACATATTGTTTTTGTGATGAATCACTATGCTTTAATTATGTTCCATTTGTAACAATGAAATTGGGGGTCACCACAACATGAGGAACTGTATTAAAGGGTTGCGGCATTAGGAAGGTTGAGAACCACTGCTCTAGAACAAGTCTGCTTAAACATAATATAAAGTAATTGCAGGAGTGATGGCTCATCACCTTTGCTGTATTCTATTCATTAGAAGCAAGCCACAGGTTCCATCCTCACTCAAGGAGTGCAGGTTGCATGGAGGTGTAAACATCAGGAGATGGCAGGTATCTTAAAGTCTGTCTGCCACACTCTCACCTTCCTCACTTCTTACAGGTGTATGTCCTGAGAGCAGACCTCAATAAACCTTCATGCAAGTATCCATTTTAGAGTCGATACCCAGGGAGCAGTATTGGAGGCAGGGAAGTGAGCTAGAAACTGTTGCTGTAACATCAACTATGGGGATAGCAGTGGGAGACTGAGCACCAAATTCTCTTTCTATTAATAAATGTATAATAATTATTAGCATTTAGAATGACACATGGCCTATCTGAAAGGAAAACCAATTCTAAAAATTACAAGATGTCTTCAAGGAAGGATACATACAACAAAAATAATTCATTTCTAGATCTGTAGAACAGGTTAAATATAACTAATAAAAATTAGGCTTACTATGTTTCACAGTGTAAAAGTAAACCTCAGACCACAGTCACATAATCAAAAAAATAATAATTAGCACTTTATTTAGTATAGATTGTACTTTTACAGATTGCAGAAAAAGTGAATAGAGCTGCACTAGTAGAGATTGACAGAAAATACATAAGCAATAGTTATGATAACAGGATCAAATTCTACCTTGTTTATCAATACTTCCATTTTCATCCATCCCATGTACAATAATTACTTTTATCCTTGCTTATTTAGTCATATACAGAGTGATATAAATAATATTTGTAATTATTATAGGGATTCTCCACTGGAAAAATATTTTTCCTTAGGTCTCCAGAGTGTGAAATATATATAGTCCTTATTTCTGAAAATGCTTAAATACTGATGGACTTTTAAATCAATAATTACAAACACCAAATGACTACACTTACACACTGTGTTGTCAGGGGAATACTTTAAAATATTTGGAGTAGTCAACAGCTTATGATTCCAATGGTCTTCACGGGTATTATTGATTCACTTTCATGCACATTCAAATTTTCTTACAAAAGAAGAATGGTGAAACAAAATATGTAATCTGCCCTTAATAATTTATGGTGCTCAACAGTTGCACAGAAACATGTGTGAGTTTCTTGGGAAGCAGAACAGCAGCCCTTCAAAGAGGGGTGAGCCGCTCATCCTCTGTCATGAAAGTGTCATTAATGTGCCATCCCTTCGTATCTAGGGGGTCACAGGGGATGCCATTTTCAATAGTGATCGTGTTTTCACTCTTATCTTCAGTGTCATCCACTTCAGATGGTTCTTTGTTCTTCCTAAATGCACATAAAAAGAATTATTGGGATCTAGGAGAAATCATGGTCTTCTACACAAATAGGGAAAGCAGGAAAGGAAAGAGGAAACTTAGAATGATGAAAAATTGATGCTTTTTATCTATATATATAAAACCCTAATACGCAAATAGACCAAAAGGCGGAACAACCGAACAATTGGTTGCTATGATGTGCGCTGACCACCAGGAGGCGCACACAGAACATGGCCGGTGTCAGCTGCAGAGGGATGGTGGAGCAGGTGAGCAGGGGTGCCATACCAAGGCAGGGCACCAGTCGCTGTCATTAGGGCAAACCTCTGATGGTTACTGAAAATTCTTTGCTCCTGTGCGCCACAGACCTGCCCGGCGCTTGCACCTGCTGCTGGTGCTGGCCCCACTCACACCTGCTACCAGCACCAGAGCCATTGCTCGCACCCACTGCTGGTGCCCGGCACTGGTCCCTATCGCTTGGCGCCGTCAGTGAGTGTGAGCGGCGGCTGCCATCCCCAAGTGCCCCTAAGGGCTTCTCCATCTCCCCCTGCTCCTGAGGGGTGATCAGGGCAGCAGCCGTTGCTCACACCTGCTGATGGCACCAGCCCCACTCACACCCACTGCCAGCACCAGCCCCAATCACTCCACGCCATTAGCAGGTGCGAGTGGGGCCTGCTCTATCAGTGCGTGGGAGCAGCGGCAGCAGGAGCAAGGCTGCTGGCAGACAGGGGACTTGGGGCCGCAGTGGGAGGAGCCGGGCAGGGGCTTGGAGGATGGGCTGAGACCAACCCCTATGCCCACCGCAGCCTCGCAGCCCACAGTTCCTTTCAAGGTGCATGAATTTGTGCACTGGGTCCCTAGTTTTCAAATAAGCTTCAAAGATCATAAAGAGCTGATGTGGTGAAAAGATGCTATCAAGATAAGAAGTCTGCATGGATGACATATACATATTGATCAAAATGAATGATCTTACTTGGAATACATATATACGAATGCATACGTATATTTATATAAATGAATATGTTTGCATACATACATATATACATTACATTAACACAAATTGAATGAAGAAATATGAGGGAAATGTACGGTAAATTGTTAAGTTAAAAAATTTGGCTCTAGGACAGCGGTTCTCAACCTGTGGGTCGCGACCCCTTTGGGGGTCAAATGACCCTTTCACAGGGGTCACCTAAGACCATCCTGCATATCAGATATTTAGATTATGATTCATAACAGTAGCAACATTACAGTTATGAAGTAGCAACGAAAATAATTTTATGGTTGGGTCACAACATGAGGAACTGTATTTAAAGGGCCAGAAGGTTGAGAACCACTGCTCTAGAACTTCACAAAAATTGAATTTAAAAAAAAGTAATAAATTCCTCTCATAGGATTTGCAAATGTTGAGTGAAAATCAAATTGAAATGACATATGAAGAAGCAAACTCACATTACTTTAGAGCAAGGAAGTAAACTGTATATATTGTAGGTATCATTGCTTGGCTCTACTCATTACAAAACAGTTGTATTTATTTGTAAGACAAGTTTTTGGAACTCAAAACACATTTTACTGATTATATTACAACTCGTAGCTATAATTCCAGGTCATTTCAAAAATACTACATGACAGGATAAATTCTGAGTTTTCATTCTCAGATCCTTTGTAAACACTGCTACCCCACCCAAGTGGTAACCAGGCCCTTAATATTTCTTTGGAGTGTGGAAAGCTGTAGCCTTTAATTCAAAAGTTCTTCCTGTCTTTTGTGAAAGACCCAAAACAGTTGAGCCAATTATGCTTGATATCATAGAGGTAAGGAGCAAAATGGAGAGGTGGGTACCTCTAGGCCAGTGGTTGGCAAACTGCGGCCCCTTGAGTGTGGCTCTTCCACAAAATACCATGTGCGGGCGCACACGTACAGTGTGATTGAAACTTCGTGGCCACACTCAAGGGGCCAAAGAGCCGCATGTGGCTTGCGAGCCGCAGTTTGCCGACCACTGGTCTAGGCAATCACAGAGAGGAAGAGTTTCCCTGAGGCTTATCACAAGTTAAGTGTTGGGGCACAGTGAAGGCATGATGTTAAGCACAAAGCTCCCAGACTTACCAAAGATTCTATTGTCCCAGGAACCTAAGGAAACTCCAAAGAGGCAGACCTGAATGATCACATGTCTGGGATGGTAGGCATTGCTGTGGTGACTGGGACAGACTCCCACCACTATGGAAGTGCCTTAGAACCTTAGTGACTCTGGAAGGTGAGGAGGTGGTGAAGATGCCCCAGTGATGACTGAGGTAGGGTTTCCTATTAGTCCTATATGAAAGTCTACTCCAATATGCTTTCAAGAATATGGTGTATGAAGAGAGAGAGAAAAGAGCTTGTGTTTATGAAAGAATGGTAGCTGATGTAGAAGGAGTAACAGAAAATCACCACTATAATAATAATTTATTCTAATGAGGCTCATCAATGGATACTAAACCACTGAGTGAGAAATGGTTAGGGAACAGGATATTTACATGGTCTCAATATATCACCCCCACAAGCAATGTACTAATTATAAAGAGACATTTGTATTTTGTCAAGGGAGGAATTTGGTGAACATCACCAACAAATGAGACAAATTCACAAGTGCCTCCAGATGTGACACACTAAAATTATATATTATATATGTAATTATGTGTTCCTGCCCCACCCCATCACCAATTTTTTTTACCTTAATCTCTCAGGAGGAAGTAATCAGAGAAATCAAAATCCAAATAAATGTAAGATATGTTGTAAAACAGCTGATCTGGACTCAGCACAGAGTGGGCTTAGAATTGGATGAACAGACACATAGGTGGCTGGCTACCTAGTTATACAGAGGGTAAATGGATGGATCAGTGAATGCATACCAGTGACTGACTGGCTGGATAAAAAGTTAATGGATGGATGGACTAAGTTACTCAGACAGTACCCGAAGGTGTATCTTGAATGGAATCCACTGCAAAGAAAGACGAGAGATAGAGATAGATACATAGATAGATAGATAGATAGATAGATAGATAGATAGATAGATAGAAGAAGAAGAGGAG